CCACCATCATCATCACCACCATTATTACCACCATCAACATTACTACAGTCATCATCACAACCACCACCATCATCACCACCACCAATATCATAGCCATCACATTCATTATCATTAAAATATTCTTCTAATAATTCAATTTAATACAGTATCTAACAATAATTACCATTATTAACTCACCATTGTGTCTAAATACTTTAATTTTTGCATTAGCAAGTCTGGCACCCAGTACAAGTGAGGAATGATTTAACTCATCACTGATAATAAGGTCACCAGGACCAACCAGGATGGGTATATTAGTGGAGTTGGTAGCAAAACCCATACCAAACACCATTGCTGATTCTTTTCCAACAAATCTGGCAACCATTTTCTCTAACTCAACATGAATATCAAGGGTACCTAGAACCAACATTGTCAAAAAAAGTTTTATCAATACCATGAAATAATGTCTGGGCTGATCAAAGTCTAGGAATGGAGAACTCACAGTTCAAATTAGAATTTATCTTGTTTTGTAGAAAGAGGACTGGAAAACACGGACTGAAAAAAACTCTTGAATCAAAAATGAGAACTAGCAAACTCTATTCACATGTGATGCAGAGTGTAGAAATTGAACCCGAGACCTTAGAGGTCATAGAGGCAAGTGTACTATCACTAAATGTACACCACCAACAAAATTAAAGTGCCTATCACCCTTCTGACAATATTCACAGTATTGATTCTACATTGGGTAAGATATTGAATAACCCGAAAACAATTATAGTTTGAGTGTGGCTTCTTGAAGTTATAAAGGTTTTTCCATGCCATGTGCTAATGAAGTGACGTATGAGGAGTAATCATTTCAAATACAAAACATTACTGGCACAGATAAATTAAATTTGAAATACGTCATTGTTTTCTACATTGCTCTTATAGAAATTATTGCAAGTTAGTTTTCACATAGAAGCCGGTGTTTCGAATTACAAGGAACAACAAACAACTATAAATGCCTCCTCATACGTCACAACATTAGCATATGGCATGGAAAAAGCTTTATAACTTCAAGAAGTCTCACTCAAACTTTGAAATATTTTTGGGTTATTCAACATCTTACCCCATGTAGGATCAATACTGAGAATATTGTCAGAAGGGTGATAGGCACTTTAACTAACTTTTTGATTCTCTGGGAATTTGATTCAGTCACATATCTCTTTTCTTTTCATTTCCAATAAGCACTAAAATATTATAATAGTGATATCTATTTAAATAGCACTCTTTTCCATATGCATATGTTCAAAGGCGCTTCGCAATGAGTTTTGAATGAGAGGTGGTTAGTATGAGGCGTGGGCACTGAGGATTGTCACTGCCAGGGTTTCTTTACGTCCTCAGTGGTTCTTTTACATCCCTCCTAAGTTAGTTAGTAATGATGAAGTGTGGAGAGACGAGACCGCCATTTAAAGTGGTCATCTGAGCCATTGGGGTCTAACCATTTGCAGATGTAATTATAAAGGCAGCACCTTCTTCTCATTTATATTAAGACCCTGAGTGTTGATCTGGTTGATGCTTTAATCACAGCCTACCACACAACAGACTGACGCTCTTACCAACTGAGCTAACCGGATGGCGGTTTATCCAAGGGAATGATAATAATGAAAGGTGTAAATGGGGAAACATTGGAGCCATTACTGTCTTCTTACCAAATTCATGTCTAGTACTGCAAGCAGCTATTCCATTCTCTTTAACTGCTGTTTCAGCAGAGTCTGCACACAGTCCTTCATTTTCAGCAAATCCCAAATAATTATACGAACCCAAATTCAAGGCCTTGGTTTGTGTACCAGGAAACCTGTTGACAGAAAAGTCTTCATCAAGCAAATGCAATAAATGTACAACAAAATAATGATGTCAATAGCTAATGGATGGAAGTCGTTTGCCTGGATAAAATACACTGGACATTATTGTTTGTTGTCTTTATGGAATGTTAAATCATTAGAAGATTATTCCAATAGTCCAGTTTAGAGTTCTTTTCAACCAATCAATTCAGCTTTTCAACCAAAACCTGTGGCATTTAAATCAACTTGTATTGTTCCATAGTACGTATACACCTAATTCAAAAAACGTTGTCATCACCAAAGGCGATAGGTGATAGGTCATTCGGACATGGAAATGGTTTCATTGAATACAAAGAACATTGAATCAGTCTCAACACGAAGGTCCATACTCTTGACGAGAAGAAGAAGAAGAAACACAAGTCATTCCAGCTATTCTTGGATCATGGAATGACATATAACCTATTGCCTATCGCCTTTGGCGATGATAGCGTTTTTTGAATTAGGTGTATTCCTTACTATACGATGGACCTTGATGAAAGAAAAGAACACCTAGTTATACACAATCGAGGCTAAGACCAAAGGCAAACTGGAGATGGGATTATTAGTTTACCTGAATGTCCATCCATAATTATCAGTTGCTCTGTCAACAATATCAATCTGTGCACCAGGAACACTTCCTATCGGCCTGTTCCAGCAATCTCTTATTCTTACGTATAAATTCCTTGTATAGAAGCTTTCAAAGTCTGAATATAAAGGAACAAATCCCTGAAAAAGAAAAAAAGGAATTTAAAATCAGAATGAGAAGGGCATGTAGCTTTGCACTGACGATATGGTTCTTTATGAAAAGTCTGGAGGGGAGGGGAGGGGGGATTAGGCACAAAAAGTCTGGAGGGGAGGGGGAATTAAGCAAAAAATGTCTGGAGAGGGGAGGGGAGGGGATTGGGATTAGGCACAAAATGTCTTGAGAGGAGAGGGGAGAAGGCAAAGAATGTCTGGAATTTGCTGTGTTGTTTATGACATGGATGGGTGCCTTGAAATTGTTTCAATTCACTGACTTCCAAAATATGTAAAGTCAAGAGCTTGATATTGATTTTATTCATGCATCTTCCATATCAGATTGCGAAGGATTGAATCTATGTCTATAGTGCGTAAATTGAATAAATCCTTAAATCCTGCAAACAAGTGAATGATAATGTGAAAAACAATGAATAAAACAATATCAAGCTCTTAACACACGATAATTTGTTTATTACACATTTAGGATTGATATAATAACAAATTTTCTAGCTTAACGAGAAGCAATATCATATCCCTTCATTAAATTGGTCTTTATTTGAGGCTGGTATTGACCCTAAATGACTGTATTAGCTATAAGTTAGATAACGTCACCCTCTTTAAATAAAGTACATTGTATCGTATCATATAGTGTGTATAATAAAACATTATTCATACAGCAAATAAATGCACTTTTGTTATTTAATTGACCACACAAAGAATAAAATATATTATTTCTGAATGTTTCATAAATTGAAAAAAGAAAAATACAAATGTTATATTTTGTCGAAAATAATACTGAAATACTACTGTTTTAGAGTTATTGTAAATATTATCGATACAATCTTGTATTAATTTGTAAGAATGTCGAATGACGACAACCATTTTGATTCAAAATTTCTTTTAAAAATTTCTTTGATTCTATGTAAAAAAAAATTTTTGATTTTTTTAAAATTTATAATATTAGCCATAAGTAGTTGTATTTATTTTAATTTATGAATCGTTCTTTAGATAAAATTTGAGGGACGTAAGTAAGTCTAAACGTTATGTCACACTGTTCGTGACAACATTACGAAACAATGATAAACACACACAACAAGCATGTGTTTATGTCGAAAAATATGTACAAAAAAGAATACCTTTTCCTCTAAAAAAATAAATAAAATCTCAAAAGAGTTTTATAATGAAAAATTCTACGACCCTGTTGCGTAGTATTTAGGTTTCTTTGATGTTAATTTTAGATGTTTTTAGTGGTTTGAGAGACGCGGACTTCAGGTCAACGCCTTCACAGGTTTGAACGAGACGTCAAATTTGAAAATACAAAAATGCGCATTTTAAAAATAGAATAATTGACTTTGAGGAAATATTGAGACTAGAAATGAGATAAAAAGATAAATACTTACCTCATTAGCGTATTCCTTGCTAGTTTTGGATTTTTCTATTCCGTAATTTCGCATAAAATCTCGAAGGTAACCGAAGACGACCAGGACGAAGTACCCAATGTACGTCAAAACTGCCACCAAAAGCGGAGTTTCTTCAAACTCTTCATGGAATTCGACAGCATCTTTCTTGACTTCACCGTTTCTTCTAGGTACATAGCCGTTTTCTTTAGTGTGATATCCATTAACAGGGCGTTTTTCAGGTGGTTTTTCTTCGAGTATTTTATTCCTTGATGCCATCTTGAAGCCCATCTTGAAGGTAGTATTGGTCACGTGGGGTGGGGCGATCGCTAGTGCTCAGTCTACTGTGACACTCTGTCACACTGGAACGTCACGGAGAAGATTGATGGAGGGGAAAAGGAACAGAAAAAGAGAGAGATTAAGTACAACGTGCAAATGCTTAAGAAAATGGATGGATAAATACTAGTAACGTCTAATTTACATAAAATGTTCCTCAAGTTAACAATTTATATAAAGTGAACCTCCAACTCTCACTCGCCGAAATCCTGAGGGAGGCAGGATGGATTGTTGAAGCGGTAAATAAAGCTAAAAAAGAAAAAAATGGAAAAGGAAATAAATGCAAAAATCCAAGACAACAAGAAAATGAGAGACCACATCTTGTATAAAAAGACTGAAGAAGAGGACCAATGAGCCTTTCACAACTTCAAGTCGTGTTAAAAATGAGCCAGCTCAACTAGAAACCGTGGACAGCTGTTTCAGCCTGTATTGGGCCTCGTCATCACAGTATATCTAGTGAGTTCTTAGATTCCCACCAAAAATTAGTACATGAGAGATCAGCCCATCCCACACGGCTTACCACCTCATCTCTCATAAACTCAATATTTATATATTTTTTGCAACATATAACGTAAAATATATCACAAAACTATTTCATTATCAAGAATAGCGACTGAATTCATCTCGATTTTAATTGAGCATATTTATGAATAACATCTTATGACAAAGCTATGTACATAAAGTTGATAGTAATATATCCTCACTGAAGCCATTATCACGTCGCAGTATGACTAAGTTATGGGGTGAGATCCGCGACGATGATGAGGCAA